TGAAAGATGAAGCTCGCGATTACGGTAAGGGGTGTTACATTTCCGACGAGTGTCCGGCCAATCACAATGCACTGGGTCAGCTGGCCAATCAGAGCAGACTGCGCTTGTCGGAAGGAGGGACTTTGTAGAAAACAAAGCGTTTGAGAGAGGCGGGGCATAGAGGACTTACAATAATGTACAGTATTTGAAAAATAATGTGTTTTTTAACATTAAAGCATGTCAACATATTCTGTTACACCAAATAATGATCTTTTAAAAAAAGCATCATATGACCCCTTTAAAAATACAGCAAAGGCATTTGGAATGCAATCAAAGGCAGATTGGTGACATCTGGTGAGAGAAATAAAGCAAATCATATATAATATCATGGTGTAACCACCAGATGCCTGTACAGCCCTGTATAAAGAGAGCCGTGTATTCCCCAGTTGCTTTTAGTTTTTTTTTTTTCAGACTTAACATTATTAGGTTTTGCATTTGGATATTTAATTATCATTAAAAACTACTATACTTCATCTGATTTTAAGAGGGAAAAAAACTGCTTTGAATTTTTGTTTTCATATTTTCATTTTAAGATTAATTTCCTGTGGCGGTCACGAAGATTGCAAGTGTAACTGTTTTTTTTCTTTTTTTTTTTTTTTTTAAGACCAGAAGTGTCAGAAAAGCAAAACAGGACAAAAGTTTACCTCATGCTTCCAGTGCTCTTGCTGTTGTGTAGGGTCTCCTTAGCAGGTTTCTGTGATGACAAGGCTCATAAGTAAAATTGAAATTAGGCACCCACAAAGATGACTAAACAAATAGAGGATCAGTGCCTTTGGGCCTTCCACTGCAGCAGCCTTGTTTTGACCCGATGACCTTTGTTGGCCTGCTGTGGCATTTAAACCTAAAAGAATAAAGCATTGAACTTTATGTAATTTTCTTCCTTTTTTCCCCCCTCTGGCAGCTAATAATGTTAATTTGATAATGTGAATATGTAATACCTCATGTTCTTGTGGCATTGAATTAATAAAGCATTAAAAAAAAACGAAAAGAAAAAAAAATGAAAGCTAACCTTAAAAGAATTGAAGTTACATTTAACGCATGAATTAATAAGTTGCCTCAAACCTTTTTTGCTTGGTTTTCGAGATAGGGGTTTGTGAATTTCTGGAGACGCACACTAAAAGAAAAGAAAAAGAACGAAAACAACCACTGGAACCAATTTGAGTGGTGCGGTTACCTTAAGCGAACACCAGAGCAGCAAAATCATTATTTTACCATGAGTGCCATAGTGACCTCTCCCACAGACAGGTCATCGTCTGAAAAACATTATAGATTATGAATACTAATAATTATAAAACCATCAGGACAGGACGAACAGGCTCTGTGATCGTCGTACCATTCATTAGGTCTTTTATCAGCGTGGTGTGGAGGGATTGCGGCATTTTCATCAGCTCTATTGTGAAGACACGGTCTACAGTTGCCAATAATTTGTTCAGATTGGCCTCCATTTCATTTATCCGGTCCTGAGCTGATCCGGTGCAAGCAGAACACTGGGTTCATTTTTATATGTATACAAGATAGAGTATGTATTGACTAATATATGACTGACCTTCCTTCTCAAACTGTTGTATAAACAGCTCTTTTCTCTTGGTAAGTCTAATTTTTTGGTCACAGTTGTGCTGCCCTTCAGAATCCTGACTGACTTTTCTAGTTCTTCGTGGAGCCATGCTAATAATAATAATAACACAAGACAGAACTTCAGCTCTTTTTATGAACAGCACGAACCTCGGAGCAGGTGCTCACCAATTACCTTCTTCTGTGTTTAGTGGTGATTGGCAAACCAACTTAAAAAGTTCACTACCGCCACTTACCGGACTGGATGCGCTTAGTGTTCGCGGACCCCTGGAGCTTCCTAAGGGAACTGAGTTGATGGAACGCTAATAATTATGCTTATTTGAATCATAAAACATAAACGCACCGAATGCAAAAAACCCCCCAAAAAACAAATAATTAATTAAATCATAAAAACGTAAAATATAAATGCTTAAAAAATAAATGCAAAATAATTTTGATTGATTTTATTTGTTTAATTTAACAAACAAGATACGTGAACAAATATGTTGTTCAATTTAAATGATTCAATTAAAATCTTAGTGGGTACTTCATCTAAATATTTTAGATCAAAGCGGTTCGGCTGACAGAAAAGTTTAGGAACTTTCTGGTGGTTTTATTAATTATTTTTATTAATTTATTTTTTTATAAATATTTTGTATTCTCATTATTCTCATCTCATCATTAAAATATAAGAAAATATAACCACATTTTTCACAGTATCCAGATTCTTTCTTAATGATTTGAACCAGAATGTCCATTAAAATATTGTTGCTGTACCATTCATCCCCTTTTTATGGCTTCAGTAAAGAATTTGATTTAATTAAGGATAACTGCAGTAACCAGTTGATCTCTCTTTGCTAATATCTCATCTCCTCCATCTAAATTTGTTTGTGTTGCTGTTTCCTTCTTTCATTTGAGTGGGAACATTTGTGGGGAGTTCTTAGTCGGTATTGTGTTACAAATAAAACTGCTTTAAAAAACTTTAAAATTGCTCACAGAATATATCCTGTGAAAGAAACATTAGAGCGTTTTCATCTGGCTATAGATTACAATTGCTCTTTTTGTAATTTAGAGAGTCTATCGATCATTTGTGTTTTGAATGTCCCTGTTCATCTTTGTTTTGGTCGGAGATGTCACAATTTCTAAGTGTTAAAATGAACTGCATCCTAATTTATCATCCGTTTTACTTCATTCAAATGAATATGCCTTTTCTAAAAGAAAAATATTTAATGATTTGTTTTTGTTATTAAGAAAAGTGTATATTCATCAAACTAAAAGGAGTAACTCGAAATCCAATTTTTCTCATTTTCAAACAGCCTTTAAAGTTTATTTAGAAACTGTAAAGTTTTTTTTTTTTTTAATCGAAAAGCCCAAAAAATTTAATGGCCATTAATTTTTTTCTTTCTCTTTTAAGTTCTTTTTTTTTTTTTTATAGTGTTTCAATTTGAACTTACAAAATATGTTAATGTGAGAAATACGTCAACTTGCTGTTGAATTCTGTAATTTTGAAATTTCAATAAAAAAAGAAGAAGCTTGTGTTTTGATTTTCACAGGTAAGTTAAGGCTTCTGGCAAATATTCTGGAAAATATTGGATGGTGTCGTGGATAGTGGTGGAATCGAAGCGATTATTCAAAATGAAAGCGACAAAACAGCACCACGGTGTCCACATGGTATGAGATCAATTATACTTTTAGTGATACCTGTTTTTCTCAGGACCAGCTCTGTTGTTCGAGAAAACTGGCAATGGAGAGGAGGAAGGAAGGAGATTTTACGCGTTCTGCTTGTCGGGACAGAAAGGACTGCAACTTTTTTCAGTGGGCAGACGAAATGGTTAAATAGGACTAACATAGTATTTATTATTGTACCCAGGGCTGGATTGGTACTTAAGGCCGACGCACTTAAGGGGCCGACAGATCACAATGCGATGAAGAATTTTGCTCCGCCTATATAAAGATCGCTTCACCGCAACTTCTTCCTCGTCGGCTTTTTTCCCACGTTTTCACAGCAGCATTATCAAGAACAGGCTTGCTCTGCGGTGAGTGATGCGGGCCAAAGAGCAAGGCAGGAGGAGAAGAAGAGAGTAGTTGCTATTGCAGCTGCTATTCAAATCTGCGTTTGCGCTTTGGGTGGCACTGAGCCAGAGACAGACGCGTCTGTACAGCGCTGCATTATAACCAATCACACACGAGTCTGTTGAGCTTATGAATGCAATGGCCAATCAGAGACGTTCAGATGAGTCATCGCTGAAACGCAGTGTTTTGTTCACTTGCTCGCTGACTGTTTAGATGTGCGTACGAATGTAAGATATTCATTTCACAGTGTAAACAGCTGATTTAAATGGGAGTTTTTGAGAGTGCCTGAACTCTGGCTAGACTGAAGTGAAAATGTTCTTTGCTCTCTGTAAAATGAAAATGTTATAGCCTAATATAGTAACTTACAATATTGTTATTAAATTCACATTAAAGTCAGTCGTACATGCATACATACATACACTACCAGTCAACATTTTTTTGAACAGTAAGAAAGATCCAATAAAAAAGATCCAAAGATCAGCATTTATCTGAAATGAAAAGCTTTTGTAACATTATAGGCTACATATACCATTCAAAAGCTTGGAGTCAGTATATATATTTTTTCCTTGGGAAATGATAGAAATTAATACTTTTATTTAGCAAGGATGCTTTAAATTGATCAAAAGTGACGATAAAGACCTTTATAATGTTACAAAAAAATTCTATTTCAGATAAATGCTATTCTTCTGAACTTTCTATCCATCAAAGAAACCTGAAACAATTCTACTCAGCTGTTTTCAACATAATAATAATAAATGTTTTTTTGAGCAGCAAATCAGAATATTTGAAGGATTTCTGAAGGATCATGTGACTGGAGTAATGATGCTAAAAGTTTAGCTTTGAAATCGCAGAATAAATTACATTTTAAAATATAGTAATGACGCTAAAAGTTTAGCTTTGAAATCGCAGAATAAATTACACTTTAAAATATACTCAAATAGAAAAGTTATTTTAAATAGTAAAAATATTTCACAATATTACTGCTTTTGCTGTATTTTGAAACAAATAAATGCAAACATTAATCAGGAAACAGGCAATAGTATCCAGCTGCAGCCCAGCAGCACCAGCAGTTTCAGAACCGCAGCCACAGAACCGGAAGTGAGGGGAGGAGCTTACATTTTTTTAAAGAGTAGCACCACCTTACGGTTTTTAAGGGGTCATTTGATTTTAGTACACACGATACGTCATACTTTATGTATGCATTTTATAATGACATATTAAGCATTTTAGAAACATTAATCTTGTGTAATTTAGTTGTAGACATATACAGTTATTCGTTGCATTGTATTATGCGAGTAATTTCCTGTTGATATTAAAAATAATGTTTGAAACTTCTGGGCATTTTATATGAAATATACTTTAATCACAAGATACAAAATAAATGTTTACTCCAAAGTCAAGAACACGTGCATCATACATTTTTCTATATGAATGCGAAAACATTTCAATAAAACATACACACACAAACAGCAGCATAATTTTAAAAGTAACAATCAAAATGTACACAATAATTAAATTGAATTTTATAAAATGAACAATTCACTATTAAGCCCATTTTGTCATGACAATCCTGCATGAAAACTTACAAAATTAACAATTCACTCTTGGGCCCATTTTGTTATGACAATCCTACAAAAATAACTCCCCTGAGCACAAGATGAAATATGAAGGGCACTCTGGAAACTTCTGTTCCAGGAGATTGTTGAGGGCCTTTTCCTTGTCCTCTTCCTCCATTATAAGGAAAAGAGGCTCTTCCACTGGCCCCCTGAGCAGATGTCTGTTTAATGGAGCCATTTCACAACTTCTGTGAGATTACTGGGATCGCCTTCATTACAGAATATTAAAGGAAAATGTAACTTTAATATTTCTTATTAATGTATGTAGATAGATAGTTAGATTTGAGACATACCTCACAAGCGTAGTCTGTTATCCAATTGGAAGGGCCTCTTGTAGGGTTTCTGCACTGTAATATACATGTATCTTGGTTCATTTCAAATTGGTCAGAAGGGGGTGCAAATGTAATGGTGTGCTGGAGGAAATGTCCAGTACCTTTCAGAGAAAACCATCTGGAGTCCACCATCTCCGTATGATGGGAATGTCACACTGGAAGACACAAACATAGAGAAATCTTTAAATATCAACTGCTACATCATAAAGGTCAATTACTTTAACTGATAACTACTTACAGATGTAAAATCAAAGGGTGCTCCCAAGACAAGATGTACTGGAAAACAACAAAAAATAAGAATATCTCCCTGTAAATGGCACAAAAAATTTTTGTGTAAATGGCACAAAAAAACCTTCCTTGTTCCTTATTTGACAACTAAATAATCACACCAATAACTGGTTGCAAAAATGTATAGTATAGCCTAAAATAAATAAA